ATCGTGGAGTAGTATTTATTGATTTATGAGAGTTTTAGATACAAGTGTATAAACAATGAATATAGAGGGATAGAATGGTAATTACTGACTCTTTTAGGGTTTGGAAGCGAAGGCTCTCTTGAAATTGGTGGGTAAAGGCCTGAGCCAATGTGCAGCGCCAATGAAGGTTTTGGAGAAGAATGGTGCAGCTTCTTGGGTGGTCATGTTGGAAAATGACCATGGTACCCTTCTGGATGGATTGGCTCCTTTTCCGTAACATCGGTATTGTCCATAGTACACAGTGCTGCCAATACATTTTCAAATATTAATGGATTTATTAAATATTAATAAAATTTAAAAGGAGGAAAGAATAGAAACCTCTGTTTGGATGGGTCTTGCCAGTTATCCCAACCCTCAGGGAGAATAACATCAGACATGTAAGTGAATCCAAACACGACCCTAGAGAACGCCCCCCACGGCCGACCCAGAACGGCGGAGTTGATTCCGGTGATCTTGCAACCCATAAACACGAACCCAGTGTTCTCCGACGGCGACTCTCTCCGTTGAGCCGTGATGGTCCCGACGGAGTCTGACACCGAATGCAGATGGCAATTCTGCAAAAGCCCAAACTCAAATGGGTCAATAAGCTTTCTTGGCCCAATAGCCCAATAGGCCCAATTCACAGAGAAGGAAAGAAAATGAACCTCGAAAAGTGAAGCCCCGTTTCCGCAGATGAAGTCGGTGGCTCCTTCTATGTAACAGCTTTTGTAGTAATGGCGGCCGATGTCGTCTAGCAGAGTGTCTTGATGACCCAGAAATCTGCAGGCGGTAAATGAGACTCGGTCTCCGGATACCCGTAATGCCACCGCTTGCGCACCCGCCCCGAACCCGTTCTGAAAAAATAGTATATATATATATAAAAATCTTACAATTTTAAAATAAAAATTACTTAAGTGAATAAAAATAAAAAATCCATTGAATAATATTTTATTTTTTATTTTTATACTTTTATCTTATTAGGAAATAAAATAATATTAAAAGATTTGAAATAATAAGGACAGAATAGATTAATACCCAACTAGCTTCCTTTTTAAGATAAAAAATATATAATTATATAAATAAATTGTTACTAAAAATAAAAATAAAAAATCCCTAATGAATTGAAATTTAATTTTTATAGTTAAAATTGTTGGAAGATGAAATTCTTTAGAAATGATTATGAGTTTATAATAAAGAAATACTTGATACTAGCAAAAATTACTTAAAATTTAAATTAATAAAGATTAATTATGATATTTAAAGATTTATAACTTTATTGAAGATTAAATTTATAATTTAACTAATTTGGGGGAAAATCTCAGTGGTTCATGCAAGCGTTTCAAAAACATTAGCTAAATTACAAAAACTAAAAAGAAGATTTCACAAAAGCTGCAAAACGAGAATAATCTTCGTCAAACGAAGCCATGGAAGCTTGAATGAATCAAAATCAGATAAAATCAAAACAAAAGTTCTTGTTCCGTAGAAATTAAGAACCTGAATCGTGAGGTATCGTCCAACGAAATCAGAGGCCAAAACCGCAAGAGTTGCGGAATTATATGTATTTCTGCTATCATTCCAAGTAATGATAGTATCAGACGATCTTCTTCCACTGATCGTAATGTACGGTTTATTCGCTGGTACAGTCACCTTCTCTCTGTAAATCCCTGGCTTCACAGCAATAAACACTTCCTCCAAATTATTATCTGGCACCGCATCAATCGCGTTTTGAATCTTCGTAAAATTTCCTCTACCGGATTGATCGACAGTGATCAGAATCGCCGTTTTCGCCATCGCCGCCGTAAACTCCGCCACGAGCACACAAATCACAATCGCTGTACAAGCTTGAAAGAAACCGCGCGAACGAGACATTTTCGTAGGATTTTGAAATCAACAGATTTCGATTCGGAAGTGAAGAGAAAAGAAATAAAAACTCGTAGATGATTTCGATTTCAATGATGATTGATGAACTACGAACAATCGTTGGAGCGTTCTTATAGGTGATTGAAGAGCGCGTTGCTTGACGTTGATGGAAGCTGCGGCGCCGGCGGAGTGAGATTTTGACAATGAACTTGAGGGCGACGCAATTGGAAGTAAGAGTTTGAAAAACAGAGAGGGAAAGAAAAAAGAAGAGGAAGAGTGAGTTTGTGGCATTTGTTTGGAAATTTGTAAAATATTAAAGGGTAAAATGGTAAAAACGTGTGATTCTTGAGGGGTTGAAAACGCACTCAATGTGACGTACACGATTCTCTCGATTAACCACAATGCCATTCCATACCTGCTTCAGTTATTCATTGTTTTCCCCTTTTAGGTTAATTTGGTAATTTGCAACGTTTGTTTCATGCACATAATAGCCAAAAGTCTAGGTAGATATCTCGTTTCGGTGTCGTGTTACATCCAATGAGTCGGCGTTTTAGACCGATGTTGGGTGTGGTTCTAAGAAAGAACGAAGTACGTTCCACCATACGTAGGAAGTTCCACGAAAACCATTCGGTTGTATCATTAATCACAATGCAAATTTTGCTGGAAAGAAAAAATCAAACACGTAGGTTGACTCAGCTAGATACTAAAGTTATCTGTCATGCTAGAAAGACGGTGAGGTCATCTTTTCTCGTGCCCTCTCCTCGACCCATCTAGCTAAACATGGAACATATAGTCAACTGCGAGAGACAAGTGAAATAATTTTTTTTTTCACCCATAATATTACTAGTCTCAAGTTTGAAACTGCAAGTACTTCTACCGAGGTTCGAGGTTCGAGGTTTGAGTCTTATTCTCTTACATTTATTATTTTTTTAGTATATAACTTTAATCAAGTTTCAAGAAAATTTTGTCACAATCGCACTTTTAATGACAGCGGACTTACAATTGTGCAACACTCACTTCCGAGCAATGAGTGAGTTAAGCCAATTCATTTTTGCGTCGCCTATGGTCAAGCGATGTATGCTCGAGCCTTTGGCCCCGGTCCAAGAAGAAAGTTTTAGAAAACGAGAGCAAAAAGACTTTGAAAGTTAATCCAATTTATTCTTGTGTCGCCTATGGTCAAGCGACATAGGCTCGAGCCTCTGTTCTCTCTGTTCCCGATTGAGAGAGTTTCAAAAGCAAGTAAAAAAAGACTGACTATGGTAAGCAAAAGTTTGACAAACTTTATTTATGGTTAAATATTCTTCCAAAATATGGTAATTAGTTTTAATCTTAAAAAAGCCAACTACTTTTATAATTTTGAATTTAAAATAATTACTAAAAAAATTAATTATAATTTACTTAGCTGGCAATTCTTAAAAAATACTTCTTTGAAGAACTGCCATACCCAGTTTAAATATTATGCTAAAATTCACATTCTTTTTAAATGTGTATTTTTAAATTATATATTTAAATATTTAAATAAAAACCAATATTAATCAAATTAGAGGACAAATTTTCAAATTAAAAAAATTTAAAATTATCTAATATCCATAAAATATTTTAAAAAATGAATAAATTATTTGTCATTAAACTAATTAGAGATTAACTAATTAGGATTAGGAAGGAAAAAAAGTGATTTAGACTGAAAATTAAGTCAAACAATAGCAACATCTTGACTTTATGATTTAATTTAACGATTTAATGCCTTAAGTCATCCTTAAATTTCGCAGTCGCTATGTCATCCGCCGGCGCCTCTTGCTTGCAATGCTAATTTTGGGCTCAAGTAGTTGGGCTCATGGGCCTGTTTTTTAAGTCCAATTATGGCCCAATAATGAGAGCTAATTATTATTAAATTAATAACTTTATGATTATAAGTTAAATAAGTTGGAAATAATACGATAATAATGCTTTGCTTTTCGTACACCGAGACTGGGGTAGGGGGTAAGCTTATTCGTTTAAACTCTTTGTCCCGACTTGTACCGGTTTTGGTTTAGGCATCAGATGAGGCACGAAGCTCCCTCGACACAAAAAGTTTGTGAACATGTTCACGGGTCGTTTGATGTTTAGACATCTACAATGATCCTTCCGCAGGTTCACCTACGGAAACCTTGTTACGACTTCTCCTTCCTCTAAATAATAAGGTTCAGTGGACTTCTCGCGACGTCGTAGGCAGCAAACCGCTCATGTCGCCACGATCCAAACACTTCACTAGACCATTCAATCGGTAGGAGCGATGGGTGGTGTGTACAAAGGGTAGGGACGTAGTCAACGCGAGCTGATGACTCGTGCTTACTAGGAATTCCTCGTTGAAGACTAACAATTGTAATGATTTATCCCCATCACAATGAAATTTCAAAGATTACTCGAGCCTATCGACCAAGACTATAGACTCGTTGAATAAATTAGTGTAGTGCTTGTGCGGCCCAGAACATTTAAGGGCATCATAAACTTGTTATTGACTCAAATTTCCTTGGCCTAAGCAGCCATAGTCCCTCTAAGGAGCGGGTCGTAGGGATGCTTCTGCATAGCTAGTTAGCAGGCTGAGGTTTCGTTCGTTAATGGAATTAACTAGAAAAATTGCTCCACCAACTAAGAACGATAACCCATAGAATCAAGAAAGAGCTCTTAGTCTGTCAATCCTTACTATGTCTGGACCTAATAAGTTTTCCCGGGTTGAGTTAAATTAAGCCGCAGGCTCCCTTGGTGGTGCCCTTTCATCAATTCCTTTAAGTTTCAGCCTTGTGATCATATTCCTCCCGGAACCCAAAGACTTTAATTTCTCATAAGGTGCTAGCGGAGTCCTTATAGCAACATCTGCCCATCCTTGGTCTGCATCGTTTATGGTTGAGAGTAAGACGGTTTGTTTAGTACCATTTTTTCCTTTTTTAAATAACTTTTATGTTTATTAAGTTTATTAATGTTTAAGGTCAGTTTAGTGTAATAGATTTAACTTAATTTAATTTATTATTATTACTTTTTTTAAGTTCTAACCTCCAATTTTCCTAAACTAATAGCTTTGATGGATTGAAATTCTTAGCGGGATAGTGAACAAAATATGAACTGATTTTTGTGGAAGATCTGGGTTTAGAACAATCAAAGCTTCATACGTTTTGAATTTTTTCGCAGGCAGGTTTCAATTTCTTCACACACATTGTAAGAAAAAAACTTCTTCACACACATAGACACTCTCAAATTTCTTTTATGCGATGAATATCTTTTGATTGTTGGGATGATGCTTCGAGATTTTCGATGTTGTTCTGTAATTTCTGTTGCAGAATTTCGACCTATTTTCCTTCGAAACTGCCTCTGTAGCGGCAGCCATGGCGTCGGGGCTTTTCTGAATTGTCGCCGTCTGAATCGCTCGACTCCATTAACAGCCCTCCGAGACATCTTCGTCTTACTGTGGGTTCATAGGTATGGTTTTCTGTATGTTTCGCTGTATATTTGGCCTTCTGAGCTTGGAGTGAATGTGGTTTATTTTCTGATTTAGTTTGTTGTGGAACGAATTTCAACTTGATTCCAGGATTATTTTCAGTAAATGAGCTATTGGACAGGAGTGAGTTGTTGATACCTTGTACATTGATGTTGATGTATAGTTCAAGAGGTGGATCCTCTTCTGTTTTTGAATCTTGAGGCGTTTCTTCATTGGAATTTCCTTCGATGTCTGTGGAACTCTCCGGGACTTTGTCTGGATCACTCTTATACTGACGGTGGATATGGATTGAACTTTCTTTTGTAGCTTCGCCGGAGATTAAGTGCATTGACGCTCCTTTGTTATCGCCGGTGAGTGTTGTGAAACTCTTTGGATTTTCTTCTGGATATTTGATGTTTAGTGTCTGAAAAGCTTTCGGTAAGTCTTCCATGGTTCCTTCCTGTTGTGAATCGCTATTTTCTGGTTCAAACGGTGACGTGATTTCAGCAGATGTGATTAATTTGCTTTTAGATGCATTGATCTGAAGTGCATTGGTTGTCTTTTCCAGATCTTCCTCGTAACTCTTTATTTCCTTACTTTCTTGTGACTCTGTCTGCGATTCTAGAGAGGGCTCTGGACCATTTTCAATGGTTTCATCGATTATTATTGGGATTTCCGAAAAATCCTCGTTTGAAAGGGGATAGGAAGTGTTCTTAGATATGAACTCTTCCATGGTTTCAGGCTGATGCTTTGATGCTTTGAATTCCACTGGTTTCAAGTCTGGTTTTGGAGACTGCTTTGATTTGGTTTGCACCTGATTTTCCTTGCTTTTACATCTTGCTCGTGGCGATTGATCTGCGGGATGAGAAACAACCCTTTTTGTTGTTTGGTCTCCTATGGTCGCAGGAGATTCAGTAAGCTGTTGTGATGTTGATTGTGCAGTAGCTTTGCTGGACAAATGAGATGGAGACTGAACCCGAGAGGCCTTTTTCGATGGTTGTTGTCGAGAGTTTTCATGAGACGGTGACCGTGGTATAGAAGAAGCTTGAGGTGAAAATGCTGGCCGTGAAGGTGATGAAGGTTGAGAGTCAGCTTTCAATCTTGATTGTGATGTTTGTTTTGAATGTAGATGGTTTTTACTGGATGTTTGAGATGGGGACGGTGGCTTTGACCTGATATGGGATCGGGGCGCTGCAGCTGCTGCTGATGAAGGCTGTGAAGCATCCCGAGACGGAAAGGCTTTGCCTGCCGGTGGTGAAGGCATTGAAGTATCACGAGATGGAGAAACTTTACCTTTGCCTGCTGGGGATGAAAGCTTTGAAGTATCATGAGATGGAGAAACTTTGCCTGCTGATGATGAAGGCTTTGATGCATCATGAGACGGAGACGCCTTGGCCGATGTTGTTGGAGACTTGTTGGAAGAAACTGAAGATTGAGGGGTCACTTTCGATGCAGATGGAGGCTTGGTAGCCGTTCGGGTTTGTTTTTTCGCTCGGGAATGTGACGATGGTTGAGAATGAACTTTGGCTTTCTTATGAGATTTTGAAGGTAGCATAGTTTCACTTCTTTCAGGTGCCTGAGCTGATTCTAAAGGAGACAGCTCTGGTTTTGTCTCATGAGACTGGAGTGGTAAATGCTGCATATATGGGACGGTATCAGCAGCTGAATTAGAAGTTTCAGCTTCATCTGTAGGCTCAGAACTGCGTGTTGATGACTCGTTTTCAGGACGAGAAGAAGCTTTTATGGATTGCCAAGGAAGTCGAAAGCGAAATTGTCGGTATGTCATAACGAAAAACAAGAGAATGAGGGGTTTGTCATGGAAGTTTTCCTGTCCAAAAGAGTATATAATAATTTGGCATTGGATACTTTGGAAACATGCTCAACTTTTGGGTTAGCTTTTGCTTAAGAACTTCCTTCTTTAGCTTTCTTTACCTTTCTGATGGACAAAGAATACGAAGATGGATGCTTTTGCCTTCTTAGATAAGACATTTCCTTCTCAAACGAGCAATATCATCATCCAATCCTCTGAAGTTTCTAGTTGCCTTTTCTCTATATTTTCAACTGAATAGGGATTAGGGATGACAAAATTTCCCATGGAGTCGGGTCCTTAGGACCCGCCATGAAGAACGGGGATGGAAAAGAATTCTTTGGATGAATATATTCTCCGCCCCTGTTCCTAATCTTTGGCCTAGAGTTTGTTAATTGTTGATTGAAAAAATTTACCTCAACCCTAATGGGGAAGGAGGGTGGGGATGACCTCGAGATGACTCGAACCGTATCTTCGATTTAGGTTGGTTAATGTTGGGTCTCTACAAATCTTGTCATCCCCAAGCTCACTTTTTTTTTTCTTCTCTTTCTTTTCCCCCTCCCAAGGAAGGAATCTCATTTTCCTTTGAGGAATAACACTGTTGTGATGAAATGAATTGGGCAATGGCTTAAAATGAAAATGGGAGCAATTTGTGAGAAGGCTATTGTGCTCAAAGAAAGAGAATTTGGTGGTTTGGATTTGGGAAGATTTGAAGGAAGTCTTGGAAATCCAAATGAAACAAAAAATGGCTCTGGCCATATTCACCGCGAGCAGATATTGTCCTCTTTAGGCTTTTCCTTTGGAGCTTTCTCTCATGACTTTAAAACGCGCATGCTAAGGGAAGATTTCCACACCCTTTATACGCGTCTGCTCAGGAAAGGTCTTCACACCCTTATAAAAGTGTTTTGTTCTCCTCCCATTGTAATGTCCCACATTGGTTGGGGAAGAGAATAAAAGAACAAAACACGAACTTCCCCTAACAGATGCAATTTAAAGCTTTGACTGGAAGCCTGAAAGGAGAAGTCCAAAAAAAACAATATCTATTAATGGTGGATTTGACTCGAAAATTTAATTCTTAGGACTTGGAATCAATCAAGAACAAGGATTTTCCTCGATTAGTGAAGCAAAGAATGTTTATTAATTGCAATTCTAATTGAAAACTTTAGTTAAACATGAACGTTGATTGCAAGACATTCTTGTAAAGCAAAGAATAATGCATACACTAATCCAGATATTAGTTTAGTAATGAGATGAATGATGATTGCAAGTTATTCTTGTTTATTCTACTTCAAATCACCATGGAACAACATACCCTTCATCATCAACGGATCTTCCTCTCACATTCCCATCCCAATCCAAAATGCAGGGGATGGTAAGAGCAGTACGATCGTGGCAAGAGACACTGAAGATCGCTATCTCGCAGCACTCGTGCAGGAGAGAAACGAATCAAGTGGAGAAGCTTTTCAAAGGATCCGACATAGGAGCTTCATCTTCTATGCTGAAAGGTTTGGAGAACATTTCAGTGGCGGAGATCATTTCGAGTAAGGGAGATGGAAGTATTGGCTCCCCTTGGCTATCCTGTCGAGCCGATGACACCGCCATTGATGCCGTGCAAAATGTAGTGAGTTTGGTTGAGTTTACATTTCCAAAAGCTTGAAAGGTTATCTCTGAAGATTGAGGACTCTTTTTCTGTTGATGCAGATGGCTAGAAATAATATTGGATCGTTGGTGGTGCTGAAGCCTGAAGGACAACACATTGCTGGAATTGTAACAGAACGAGGTAAATCAAACGCCAAACAATTTCAAAAACATGGATTAGAAAATTTTAAACTTATCAAGAAAACTAATAAGCAAATATTAGCAGACTATCTGAAGAAGATAATAGCAGATGGAAGATCTCCCATATACACAAAAGTTGGGGAAATAATGACTTCTGAGGTTAATTTCTGTCTTCCCTAAGCTAAAAGCCAGATTTCAAACAACATTTCGCATTCATACATTTCTATTTTTCATGAACAGGACAAGCTAGTAAGCGTAACATCCGACACGAACATCCTTAAAGCAATGCAGCTAATGACAGGTAAATACTAAATACAGAGTCGTTTATGTTCTGAAATTACCATGAAAATGGGAGTCAGCTCGTTCTCCAGCTGCATCAACGACCATCTAAGTTTTCGACATTTGCAGAGAATCGCATACGACACGTTCCTGTGATAGATGGCAAACTAGTTGGCATGATTTCTATAGTAGATGTTGTCAGAGCAGTGGTAGAGCAGCAAAATGGGGAACTCAAACGACTGAATGAGTATATAAAAGGAGAATACTATTGAGAATTATGAACATTGATGAACATATGATTCTATACTACTGTAAAAGCAAGCTTGCTTATACCATGTAAAGCAAACAAGAAAACAAATCAAAAGAACCTATTATTGTTAAAGCAAGTGATGAATCCTTATGCGGTGGCATACCCGACATCGAACAGAAGAGATGATATATGTAACCATAGAATGCATGACATCGAAGGTATAAGCATTTAGGAGAAGAAGAACAAAGGTAAATACTAAGCAAACATTAATGTAACAGCCCAAACTCACCGCTAACAAATATTGTTCGCTTTGGCTAGTTATGTATCGTCGTCAGCCTCACGGTTTTAAAACACATCTACTAGGGAGAGGTTTCCACACCCCCTTCTAAGGAATGCTTCGTTTCCCTCTCCAACCGATGTGAGATTTCACAATCCACCTTCTCGAGGGGCCCAACGTCCTAGCTGACACATCGCTTGGTGTCTGGCTCTGATACTATTTGTAACAGCCCATACCCACTACTAGCAAATATTGTCCGTTTTGGCTCGTTACGTATTGCCGTCAACCTTACGGCTTTAAAACGTGTCTACTAGGGAGAGGTTTCCACACTCTTATAAGGAATGCTTCGTTTCCCTCTCAACCGATGTGAGATCTCACAATCCATCCCCTAAGGGGCCAGCGTCCTCGCTGACACACCGTCCGGTACCCAGCTCTGATACAATTTGTAATAGCCCAAACCTACCGCTAGCCGATATTGTCCCTGTTGGCTCATTACGTATCGCCATCAGCCTCACAGTTTCAAAACGTGTCTACTAGAGAGAGGTTTCCACAACCTTATAAAAAATGTCTCATTCTCCTCTCCAACCGACGTGGAATCTCACAATTAATCTACCTTCTGAATTAAAAAAACAAAAGAAAACACCAAGGTCAGAGATCGATAAGGAAAAACTCGGGTTTAACCTATACTCGAATGAAGGAAAACAACACAGCCTTGAAAACAAATGCTGAGATGCAAATTTTCCATAGAGATTCCATTCAATTAAATCTTTCCAGCCACTAGCTTTTCCATAGATCGCTAGTTGATGATAAATATTCACATCTTTTCCAGTAGCTACGGATTATTGATAAATCTATGAACGGTCGAGATTTCTCAAGGCAGTCTCCTGCCACGAAGAGCTTGAGATGTCCTCAGAGCCATTTGAAGTGGTTGGGATGCAGTAAAACCCTTAGCCTCCATAAGGCCCTGCACTCTTTTAGCATCCTGCACAAAGCCACCAGCAATAAGTCCATTAATGATCCTTTCGAATTCACCATGTCCCAACTCATCCTTTTTCGCTTCCAATACCCCGAGCGCTTGTAGCGCCTTTTTCTCAACCCCAGCTCTCGAGTACATATCACAGAGGCTAATATGAACCTTAAGAGGCACGGCATCTCCCTGTGCGCCGATCTTGCCTAATAGCTGCTCAGCTTCATCAACCAGCTGCAACTTACCTAACCAATCTACAAGAGCAGCATAAGTTTCAACCCCTGGTTCAAACCCATCCTTTTCGAGCTGTAGTAAAAGATTCAGAGCCTTGTCCAACAGGTTCTTCTTTCCATAGGCTGCAACCATACTTGCAGTGCACCTGTCATCAGGCCTGTGCCCGATTTTTATCATGTAGTCAAAATTGTTCCTTGCCTGATCAGGATCACCAGCTAGCCCATATGTCTCAACTAGTAATGTACACGACTCCAAACTTGGCGAGATGCCAGAAAATTGCATCGTAGCAGCAATTCTTCCAGCGCCACTAATATCACCACGCTGCGAAAATGACCTTAGCAATGCCATGTAAATATCCTTGCTTGGTTTAATGTCCCTTGCTTCCATTTCTCTCATCATCGATTCGCCCAACTTCGGTTGTCCAGCATTCACAAACGCCATTATCATGGAATTATAAACCTTCTCATCGGGTTGGAAGCCGTGACTCCTCAATGTATCAAACGCTTCCTTTGCACGATCGAGATTTCCCACCTTGCTATACATATGAACCAAAACTGTGGCTGTTAAAATGTCCGGTGTAATGCCTTTCTCAGTCATCATCTTAAGAATCCTCTCAGCATCCTCTAGACGATTCTCTTTAGCATGGACATCGACAAGCTTAGAGTAGTCACGGATGTTGGTCTCGAAAGATTCTTCATTCAAAAGAAGCTCTGCTACCTTCATTCATCATAATCAACAAATTCAAATCAGGGTCTTGCAAATTGCAAACATTATGTCGTTCTACCTAATATGGTGTAGAAAAAGTATTATCATTGATAAACACCTTAACATCACTCATGCATAGCGCCAGAAATCTAAAGCTTGTTGCTATTTCAGAACTCAAAATCTAAGGCATGTTCTATATATATGACATTCAAAACAAAAGGAACCAAGAGATTATAAATGCAGCTTCTTCTACCCTGTTTAAATATGAAACTGAGAACAAGAATTATCCAAGAACACAAGGCAAAAGGGGAAAAATAAGGGAAAGATTTCTTACCTTCAAGTATAAGAATCTGTTCTTATCATTCAATTTATCAAGTAAGGCAATCCAGTCAATCCTAGTAGGTTGAAGAAGCCCTGTCCATTCGGCCATTAATGGAGATGGGTCATCGTTCTCGTTTAGTGAAAGAATTCTCTCTGTGATCAATTTGCATTTCCCAGAAATTGGCTTTGGTTCTTGAGGCCATATCACCTCCTCTGCCTCGTGGATTTTGTCTGCTACTTCGCTCCACTTGGGATCAGATAAATCAAGACCATAAATCTTGTACTTGATCTTCCCTCGCCTCTTGGGAATAGAAACAGGCTCGGATTTCTCAACGGATGCTGCAGCCTCTGCACCACTGGGAGAGGCATTAGCCTCTTTCTTGAGCTGCTCCAAACTCTCATAAAACTCGCTTTCCTCCATTTTCTCACGAGCCCATTTGAACCTGAAGTCCCTTAGCATATCCCCTCGAATACCAACTTCCCCAGCAAACCTACACATTTCCTGAACTTCCTCAGATAGCAGAAAACCCTTCATTTTCTCCTTCTTTGTAGCCTTCTTCATATCATCCAAAACCATGTTGCTAACTTCGCTTACTGTCTTCCACAAATCCTCACTTAGGTCCCAATCTGGATTATCAGTTGAAGTCCTTAACGATTGCTCAAAGCTACCCTTCTCCATTTCAGATACCACTTTTTCCACAATCATCAAAAGCATTGCATCAACTGTTTGCTTATCATAGTCCGGAAATGCTTCAGATATCTTCCCGCGCATTATCCAGACAAATCTGGATAAGAACTCATTCATTGATCCATCTTGATCCTCAACGTCTGATGACTCCAGTTTCGGCTCAATTGCTGTATCGCTAAACTTAGTTGCAGTGAAGTGAATGCACCTACTGAAAATTGAATTGGATTTGCAGAGCTCAAGATTTTCGACAGGAATTGAAGAACAGCGACTGAATTTTGGATCAAGCAAAGAAAATGAAGGTGCTGCGACGAATGTCCGAGTGACATTGCTTTTGACATCCGATTGGCGATGCAGTATGTTTCCATTGATTCTCGAAAATTTCTTCAGTGTTTGACGAAGGAGTAAACGGTTTAGTTTCATCTTCGGTCCCTTGGGAATAGCCGAGAGCGTACCTTCTCTGTTTCTGTTCGCCGTCGGACTAAGCTTGTCTCCTCTTCAGCATCAAGTGAAACAGAAAATCAAGAAGGGAGATGAGTTTGTGAGGAAAAGAAATGGAAGAAATTTTTTTGCTGGCCTGCCGGTGAGAGATCAATAACCTCCCGCCGCTGATATTTCCGATTCGTCGGCCCGCGTTACCTGGTGGAAGACGAATGACCGTTAATTGGTCGGCTTGGCTTCAGTTTCAGGCTCCATTTTTACTTCGTCGGATTGTTTCTAGGGTTTTAGGACGACTTGGGCTCGGGCTTGGACTTGGACTTGGTCTTGTTCTCGGGCTTCGGCAAGGGCTTGGTCTTGGGCGTGGACATAGGCTCGGTCTTCGTCTTGGTCTTGGGCTCGAACTTGGTTATGGGCTCGTCCTTGGACTTAGGCTTGGGCTCGGACTTTGTCTTAGATTTGGGCTTGAGCTTAGACTTCGGCTCGGGCTTGGACTCTGGATTGGGCTCGTTCTTGGGCCTGGACTTGGGATTTGGCTCGTGCTTGGGCTCGGACTGAGGATTGAGCTTGGGCTTGGGCTTATAAATGGGCATGGGTACGGCATTGGGCTTGGACTTGGACTCGGTCTTGGGCTTAGGCTTTCGCTTGGACTTGGTCTCGGGCTTGGGCTCAGTTTTGGGCTTGGTCTTGGGTTGGGCTCGGGCTCGGGCTTGGGTTTAGACTTTGGATCGGGCTGGGATTGGGTTCGGGATTGGACTTGGACTTGGACTCGGTCTCGGGCTTGGGCTCGGTCTTGGGCTCGGGCTTGGGGTCGGTCATGGTCTTGGACTCGGGCTTGGTTTTGGACTGCGGCTCGGGCTCGATTTTGGGCTTGGGCTCGGGCTTAGTTTTTCATTTTTTTTATTTCCGTTAAATTTTTTTATTTATTTTCGTGGGAATAGAGAGGAGAATTTGTAGGGTAATGGTGAAAAATATTTATCTAAATTAGATAAATTAGATAATTGGTGAAAATGAAAATGAAAAAAAAAATCTTTGAAATTTTTTTAATTATTTAACTGTTTTAAAAAATCAATATATAAAAAAAATCATAAATAGACTTCAAAAGCCACCGTTTCAGTAGTTGAATGACTAATTTGCCCTTCAGTGTGTGGGATATGCTATTCTACCCTTGTGCTGCATCCCCATTTCTTCCTCGTAGCTCTGCTGCCTTTCTCCTTCCATTTCAAAGCAGTCACAAGAAGAAGCCCAAAACCTCTCTGTGATTTTGGTTGCCTCTGAATTGCGCGAGACCAGTGAGGAGGAGGAGGAGGAGGAGGAGGAGGAGGAAGAAGACGATGGGAACTCTGGGGAAAGCCATTTACACCGTTGGATTTTGGATCCGTGAGACGGGTCAGGCAATCGATCGCCTTGGCTGCCGCCTCCAAGGGAGGTATTTCTTTCAAGAACAGCGTAAGAATTTTCTTTTAATCAAACCATGTTTCTCTAGTTTCAGATCTTTTCCTCTTGGTTTTGACTTCCATCTGGATTATGGTCTAGGAGTATTGTTATAATGACTCGATCAGCTTGTGGAAATTGTGGAACTGCTAATTTTATTGACGAGAGATGGCTGCTCGTCGTGGAATATACATTTTATGAGTCGTGCAGTGTGTATGTGTGTTTAATCTTAACAGTATTGATTAGTTACGCAAGGGTTCCGTCGATTGAATTCTCCATTTGTGTAGTGTCTGGGGTTTCGTGTATTAGGTTTACGGGTATGTACGCGAATTCCTTGGGGATTTTTATTAGAATTGTCGATTCCCCACCGCGTAATAGTGCTTCATCGATGTTGTTTTTAACTGGAAGACTGAGAGCTAACGATCGAGACTTTTTGCTATCTGGACACATACTTCGTGAAATGATTCATGCATTCATCAATGTAAGATGAATGCTTCTATTGTTTCCGCATAGAGGGTGTCAAATACGGCCAAAACGATACTTACTGCGATATTATGGAATCCTTATTTACAATTGCAGATGTACTTTGGGTATCATAATTCTAGTGAAATGTCTAATTGTTAATGGTACTGTCACTGAAACACATTTCTTTTTAGATTTGCTTCATTTTCTGTTATATATTGGTTGTTCTGGTACCTCAATTTCTTTATTAGTTCCCCTTTTTTGTTCTATCATCTTGATACCTGATAGTCTAATATGCCTAAGGTTTCGTGCAGTGTCTAGGCATCGAACTTTGATGAACGTATTTGATAAGGCTCCTTTTGTTGACAAGGACGCATTTGTGGCTCCAAGTGCATCCATTATTGGGGATGTCCAAGTTGGAAGTGGATCATCTATTTGGTATGGATGCGTATTGAGAGGTAAAACCTATGTGAGAGACTCGTTTACAGTTACAGCATTTTTCTAGTCTGATAAGTAACACGCTTTGAAAGGTTTGGACTAATCTTGTCCATATTAAACTTGTCACACTATTGTATTGACATCAAGTTTCTTACAATTTCACTGATGACAAATATACTGTCTCGATATCCAATAACATCCTTGATATTACCCGTGCCAATATTCCTTACTCAACGCGAAGGTGTTTGTGACAAACTAATGTAGTGACAGTTTGTGTTATTGGATATGTTGGGTATTTTTGTTGTTGGATGATGAAAGTGATGAAAATCCCACATCGGCTAATTTAGGGAATATTCATGGGTTTATAATCAACGAATACTCTCTCCATTGGTTTGAGGCCTTTTGGGGAAGCCCAAAGCAAAGCCATGAGTGCTTATGCTCAAAGTGGACAATATCATGCCATTGTGGAGAGTCGTGTTCATCTAACATGGTATCAGAGTCATGCCCTAAACTTAGTCGTGCCAATAGATTGGTAAAATCCTCAAATGTCGAACAAAGGACTTCAAAAGAAAAGGAGTCAACCCTCCTCGAAGGCATTGTAAAAAAATGACTAAGACTCCAAAGAGTCGAGCCTTGATTAAGGGGAGGCATACTTTGTTCGAGGGGAGGTGTTGGATGATGAAAGTGATGAAAGTCCCACGTCGGCTAATTTAGGGAATGTTCATGGGTTTATAATCAAAGAATACTCTCTCCATTGGTTTGAGGCCTTTTGGGGAAGTCCAAAGCAAAGCCATGAGAGCTTATGCTCAAAGTGGACAATATCATACCATTATGGAGAGTCGTGTTCATCTAACAGTTGTGATTTTTAAAAATAATTATTTGTTTGATCTCTTTATTAATCCTTAGCACACTTATGGGGGCTGTTATGCACTCTACGTGCTTTAAATATATGTAGATATGTCTTTTCTTGTCGAAAAAAATATATATAACTTCAGGCACAACTTTTAATTTATCATGTTAGGCTTGTTAGCTCATGACATTACTTTTACAGACACTTTTTAAGCTCTGTTCCATAACTTAATTATCAATTTCACTAGGTGACGCGAACAGCATCAGTGTGGGATCTGGAACCAACATACAGGACAATTCCCTTGTGCACGTGGCAAAATCTAATCTAAGTGGAAAGGTTTTGCCGACTATCATTGGCGACAATGTCACCATAGGTGTGTGCTTTGACTATGTTATCTTAGCTACAGCCTATAATATATTTGTTGCTGACTCATTTTGCCTGTATACTGCGAACAACTGACCATACTGAGGTTGCACATGTTGATGTTTTTGAATTTTTCTTACTTAAAGAAAGTTTGAACTTGACAGGTCACAGTGCTGTATTACATGGCTGCACCGTTGAGGACGAGGCTTTTATTGGGACGGGGGCAATGTTGCTTGATGGCTCCATTGTTGAGAAGAATGCTATGGTAGCTGCTGGAGCTCTTGTGAGGCAGAATACTAAGATCCCCTCCGGAGAGGTATTTATCAATATTTTTTTAATTAAAAAAATATATTTTCCACGAAAAAGGAGGACAGAAAGAAAGAAAATAATTTTGAACCATAAATAAGAAAAAAAAAGAACAAGAAAAAGTGAGATATACGTCCTGGTTACAAAAAACAACCCTAAACCAGGGTTGATCAAGAAACGATTTACGAAGACTTGTGAAAGGCACTCCATGTTGAAATTTTAGGCCGTACGGCGAACCCCAAACCCCAACGTTTTTTGTACATCATGAAACAGTCTGGCATTTTTATCTATGTACAATCCCAAAGTACTTTGGCTTTGTTGTTATATTTTTCATTAGACACTCTGTGATGTCTTTTGCATGAAGCGGGCAAGATGTAGATATATAAAGTGTGAGATTCGACATCGGTTGGGGAAGAGAACGAAACACCCTTTATAAGGGTGTGGAAACTTCTCCCTAGCATATGCATTTTAAAAACCTTGAGGGAAAGTTCAAAAGGGAAAGCCCAAAGAGAACAATATTCGATAGTGGTAGGCTTGGGCCGTTACATAAAGATTCCATCTTTGAGTTCTATCATGCTTATTTAAACTCCTGAATTTAGGTCTTGCAGATCAAATCAAGGTTAGTTGAATTACACAAAAAGATTCATGTTGCTCAAAGCTATCCTTTCCATTGGGAAAATCCAGTTCATACCTCTATCAAATAGATTCATTCTTAAATCCAAATCTCGACTTTCGGAGTTCCATACCTCTGATAAATTCCCTTTAGTACTGGGCATTGAGCTGAGAGTCATCTGGAAAAGAGGCTTTATATTAACCAATATATCTTCCCGAAACCTAATATTCATTGTCGTCATCTTCTTTTTTTTCTTACAAGAGCACCTATAAGGCTACAAAATAACGAACAGCTTAGCTGTGGTTCCCCTGGATATTAATCCTCAATGATCTCTTAATTGGAACTTGGAACAATCTGATCTCGACTTGCAAGCGCTTGGGCTTCTATCTAAGCTTTACGTGATCATGGGTAGGGAGCCTTACCATGATGTTTATTTGCAGGTATGGGGAGGCAATCCAGCAAAATTCCTCAGAAAGCTCACTGATGAAGAGAGAGCTTTCATATCTCAGTCTGCCACCAATTACTCGGACCTTGCACAGGTTCACGCAGCCGAAAATGCCAAGCTTTTTGATAGAATCGAGTTTGAGAAGGCGCTTCGCAAGAAGTTCACTCGCAAGGACGAGGAATATAACTCAACGCTCGGTGTTGTTTGTGAAACACCCCCTGAGCTCGTCCACCCCGATAAAGATCCCAAGCCTTTGCAGAAATAAGCCACCCTTTCGTTCAATCTCGAGTCGTTTTAGCTGATGAGGTGGAATATTTTAGCACCACATGCAAAAACACAAAAAGAGTACCTGCATAATAATATCGATCATCTTCTACAGCAGAATCATAGCTCCCAACCACTTTGGCTGTTGGTTTTACTGCTCAGGATGAAACTGACTTCATAAAGTAGAATGTAAGTTCTTGAAGATCCATTATTTTTCTTCCCAATCATTTAGCTGATATGCTATTTTGAAGCATTTGATGTTAAAAGATTGTCTGAAAGTGACTTCTACAGTGGTGTGGAACCTGCTGAGGCTTGGATTTTACTGCTCACTTTGTTTGTTCAAGTACTTGGACTCGTCGGCATTTACATTATAACATTATATTTCGGAGTATGAATATTTGGTACAGGTCGTCGAGGCCTTAATTAGCTGAATGAAAGTGATCGTGAGGATATAAAAAATTTCATTACTATAGAAATTTTAAAGATAAGTGTACTTGGCCGGATTTGTGGGGACTATCTTCACTCAAGTAATTCAAGAGGATAACGTGACCATGTTCAGGCTATCTAACGACGAATCCAAAATATACAAAATATAAAAAGTAGAGATATTTTAACTGGATTGAGCTATGTTTTATATATATATATATATACACCGAAAATTAATTATTAGGATCAAATAGGTTTCTATTTATTGATATTAAAATTTTAAGGTTTAAAAACATTGATAAGGCATGAAACACTACTTTACAAAATAATACTAAAAAACAACTAGTTGAAGCCTTTTTCAGGTTGGTAAAGTATGATAGGAGATATGATTGTTGTTGTCTCTCTTTCAAAATCTTTTTGCTCCCGTTTTTTAAAACATTCTTCTTGAACCGTGGCCAGAGGTTCGAGCATACATTGCTTGGCCGTAGGCGACAAAAGATCGAAATATTTCTACCACCGTTTTCTAAAACTTTCTTCTTGAATCGGGGTCAGAGGCTCGAGTATACGTCGCTTGGCCGTAGGCGACACAAAAATAAATTGATTTAACTCACTTTGTTGGTAGGAAGTGAACACAAGAACAAATTGATTTAACTCACTTGTTGGTGGGAAGTGAGTGCTGCACAATCATAAAAAATAACAGGTGCTTATAATAAGTACTATTTTAATTATAGATTTTTTTTTTAAGAATAAAAGAGGTGGACACTATATATTATTGGAACTAAAAAAAAATATAATATTATCTTATATTAAAATAAAATAAAATATGGTGCCTAATTAATGGGGGAAGAAATAGATTATGTAAAATTGTAAAATTCCAAAAAAGGGTATAAGAATGGAGTAAACACCAAGATGTAGGGAGGGCAATTTGGGGAAAGGGAGTCATAATTGAGTTGGGTTCTCTCTTTTGTGGAGAGGCCTCTGGTCCCATGGCTCAGAGATTCCCTTCCACGGAGTTCTATATAATGAATGGTAATGAAAATGGCAAAAAGGGCAGAGAAAACAGGGTCTTAAATCCACGAAAATGGGAGCCGAGCCTTTGCTTCCCACTGCCAATGAGTCTGAACCCGCCGCCCCTCTTATTCTTGGTCTTCAACCCGCTGCCCTCATCGACCATGTTGCCCGTGTCGATCCCTCTCTTCTCGATCGAATTCCCGGCGACCGCGGTGGCTCAATGCCTGTAAACTTACTTTTATTTATTTCTATCGCTCAATTACGTCTTCTGTTCTGGAATTCCTTGATTATAAGATTAGGATTTTATTGTCTCGTTTCTGTGTTTTTGATTGATCTTTGATCGGTGCGAGCGGATTCTGCTTCTGCTGTTGTTTTTGTTTCTTTCCCCTATTGAATCGTTTTTTCATTATTGTTATTATGTGTGGTTTTAGAAGTGATTTTGTAGGATTTCGAGCGGTGGTGTTGTTTTTGTTCTTCACTTTTATGAGTTTGGCTGGTTGGTGTTCCTGCGATTTTATGTTTTACCGTATTTTGTGCTGAATTTCGTCTGTTTGAGTTTCTTTTCATGCATTCTGTTCATTGTTTATATATATATGGATTTAGGTGGGAATGGAAGAGCTTGAGAATATACTGAGGGAGGTGAAATCATATATCCTTTCCTCGCCTGATGTGCTGACTCCTTTCAAGACAATAGCGGGGGGAAGTGTTGCCAACACAATTCGAGGATTGAGTGCGGGGTTTGGAGTCAGCTGTGGAATTATTGGCGCCTATGGCGATGATCAGCAAGGAAAATTGTTTGTCTGTAACATGAGCTCCAATGGGGTCAATCTCTCAAGATTGAGGATGATTAAAGGTCCCACAGCTCAGGTCTGCTTCTCCTTTAATGGAGGGGTGTCCAAATTTGCATTCTATGTTTATGTATTTTAAAGTTCTGAGAATGTATTGTCAATTATTCGGCAGTGTGTTTGCCTGGTCGATGCAATGGGAAATCGCACAATGCGACCCTCTCTCTCAAGTGCAGTCAAAGTTCAGGTATATTATCTCTTCGATTCGGAGTTTGTGTTCTTTGTTCGTGCATGATTCTATATGCGTTTTGGATATAGACAGGTTAACTTAGATGGCTATCTGTTTTGGCATCTTTCAGGCAAATGAACTGACTAGAGATGACTTCAAAGGAGCTAAGGTTAGCACACTCACACTTTATGTTCTTATATAGCGGCCAGAATCGAAAATGGATCACGAACATATTATTCATTTTGAGAACTTCCTTTTCTGCCTTCACTCTCATATTTATGTTCTTTGATCATCATGTCATGTCAAATCTTGTCAACTGATATCATTCTATTGAATCAATTGCCACACTTGAAAGAAGCTAGGAGGGAGAGGCTTTTTATAGGCATAATTCTTGTCTTGCCATGTCTTTGTTGCAGTGGCTTGTAATGAGATATAGTATATTTAACATGGAAGTTATTGAAGCGGCTGTAAAGATGGCCAAACAAGACAAAGTTTTTGTATCCTTGGATTTGGCCAGTTTTGAGGTATATTCCTTGACGACATGAGCTTCCGTTTAGTTTTCGAAAAATAAATGTTAAATAAAGAAGCTCACGTCTCGTTATTTGGCCAGATGGTTCGGGATTTTAGATCGCCTCTTCTCCAGCTACTAGAGTCTGGGGATATAGACCTTTGCTTTGCGAATGAGGACGAAGCAAAAGAGTTGATAGGGTGATGATAGCCATTGCTTTCAGACTTGGCTACTTTAGCTATAGGGTGATGGCCTTAATTTCTGATACTATATTTTGATCTTTACAGTGGTGAGAAAGATGCTGATCCTGAAGTTGCTCTAGAATTTCTTGCGAAGCACTGTCAATGGGCTGTCGTGACATTAGGCGCCAATGGTTGTATCGCTAAGCACGGAAAAGAGGTTAGAGATTCACCTTTTCACCTTTTGTGTCACATGTGATGATCTTGAAAAACATTAGATTACCTTCTCATCTCATGAAGTGATGAGAACAATCAAAACCAGTTTCTTAAGCCTACACGTGGATATGTGAACCCTTAATGTTTGCACACTTTCTTGCACAATAGAACAGGGAAGTTTCTCGATGCCTGCATCGAGCGAATCCTCTGTTTTTTCCTATACTGGTTTTGATTCGTAGTTTGCCCAAAACGACATACAAAGTCGAGAGATCACTGTGAATCTTAGTGTTTCTGAATGCATATGGAGTTTCAGATTGTCCGAGTTCCAGCAATAGGGGAATCAAAGGCGACCGATGCCACCGGAGCAGGCGACCTGTTTGCGAGCGGATTTTTGTACGGATTAGTGAAGGGATTATCTCTGGAGAAATGCTGTCAATTGGGGTCGTGCAGCGGTGGTTCTGTTATCCGTTCACTTGGGGGTGAGGTCACCCCAGAGAATTGGCAATGGATGCACAAACATTTGCAGATCAAAGGGCTTCCTGTCCAAGAGATCCCTCAATGATCAATCATTTTTCTCATGTCACTATCATTGTCCCATCCATTTTCATTATCATGAATTTTGTCTCTTAAACAGGCACATCTCTTTCATTATTGGGATGGCTGAACTTTCCTCCAAATTTCATGGAAGGATAAGTAATTTGAAGTCTTTGATAATCTCTGGCATATGGCTTTTATGCTTATATTATACCTCTGTGTATGTATTTATTCATATACGTGTATATTTAAGTAACACATCGCCAATGATTAGTGGTAAGCCATTCATCATGCAAACCTGTCCTGGGGCTCATCATATCCATAAAAACCAGTCAGCTACTGATGGGCCTCAAGAATCAGTTCATCATGATCTTCCTCCTTTTCATGCAATTCAATATCATTTTCACCTCAAGTTTCAATCTAACACTAATTTGATTCCAAGTTTCTAAAGAACATCGTGGATCAGCTCAACGTTCTTCTCCCAATAATATAATAGAAAAACATAATCAGTTGTGATAACACGTTTTCAACAGTCTGATACAACTTCCATAAATGTAAAATTGAAAACTTAAGCCACAACAGAGAAGTATCAAAATGTCTGCACTAAAGAACCAAACCACCAAACCTGACAGCAACACCCAGGAAGCGGGGGAGGAGGAAGGGATGTGGGTTAGATGTCCATTGGTGCCACGCCTTGCTCCGGGGCACTACCTTGGTCTGTCCTTGCAGCTGGTTCAGGGGCAGCAGCAGCAGCAGAATCACCCTGATCTGGCTCGATATCCTGATCTGCAGCAGGGACGTCATCCTCCTTAACGATCTCGAATTCATTGATCAACTTCTGAACAGTTTCCCTATCCAATATATGAAAAGGTTCCCCAACTCCTAAGATGGCAATTGTGCATATGGAGGAAGTCAGTTTTTCTCCTTGCAAGGTTTCTCTGGTGGCGATCAGTGCATCTTTGATCAAGTCGTCTCTAGAAGAGTCCTTGAAGTTCTCAAACCTCCTTTCCAAGTATGTCTTTGCAGCCTGTGAACGGGATCCTATGGCAAAAGCTTGATATTCAAAGTAATTCCCACTGGGGCAGTTGTAATAAAGGTGAGCACCAGACTCATCCAGACCACCTACTAGCAGACCAACACCATATGGACGTTTCCACGAGCGCTGGGTGCAGACCTGCAATCAGTGGCCAACATTTTTAGAGAAAGCAAACATTTCTAAACCTCAAAACTAGTTTCTCCTGTGAAAATAACCAGCATAGAGTCCTGGAAATACAAAAAATATTAAAAGTTCAGAGAGATTATACCCTTAACAAAGTATATCAAGCCTGAAGTCCTGTTTCAGCGCTCTAGAATTTTAGCACATCCTAGGAAAGATGGATAAATTTTCTAATAGAGGAAACGATAGGAACCCACTATACAGGGAGCATGAAGGCATGGCTTTTGAAATTGTGCTGAATCCTACCTACAGCCTAGGAGCAGACACCTAAATGATTCAAGGAGGCACCAGCAAAAGATAAATGACAATTAACAACTACACATCCCGTGCAACGATATAAGGTATATCCTGAACACTTCAAAATATTATTGTGGAAAGCAATTCACCGTGATTTATCAAAAATTTCTGCCCAAATCAATTGAAATCTGTCTCTACAAAGAAAGAAAAGGGTACACCAAAATGGTAGTAACCTAATTGGTTAATGAACGTAATTTGTTAATGAACCTAATTTACGGCAGAAAAAAATAGGGGTTAAAGAGGAGTGAATGCAATTTTCGGTGTTCCTTCGCAAATGCATAAAAGATAGACTCCTCACAGAGGTGGCTGAAAGAAAAAGATAGAGCCCCTTGGAAGTAACTTTACATAACTTTAGTGATTTTGTTCTTTAAACAGCCTCTTGTTAGAATGCCTTTTGTTCTATACTGTATTGTTTATTCTGTAACATAACCTAGTTTGGAAGGTCTACATGTATTATTAGCTTGCTGTGGATGCCATTTATTCCCACTCCGTGTATTCACAATGTTTCTTATTAACAACAAAAGTGGGAATAAATGCAATAAGTCAGGTTACCAAGATTGTTTCTGCATCTACACTATAATATGAGTCTTGCATTATGAATACCAACATTTTATTGCCTAAATTGTCAACAAAGCTAAAACTATGGCAGTACAAAGGAATTGAGAAATCAAAATAATTAGATAAACCACAGAACTTGAAAGCAGAATCTAACCTTATAAAGGATCTATTTAAACCAATAACACCGACACGGCTCAACTACAATTAAATGAAATTGAACTTTAACTTCTTTTCCTTGAAATTGGAGGTAGAGAATTCCCAATCCCCATGCTATCTCTCAGTGCCCCATTGTATACTAATTAATTAAACCCCCAATTCTCAAAATACAAGGTGATCAAAGACAGTGCAGAATGTTGGAGCCTAATATAATGGAGACCGTGCCCTCAATCATCCAGCTGCATACGTTTCTTGTTCCGTACTCAGTCCATCAATCACGTGACATATACGTGCATATAAGAGTACTCAACTTGTATGACTCTATTAAGAAAACCTTCACAGGAAAAGTTATTGAGAGCTATCCAACCCCATGACAATCAGATAGATACATAGTTCAAAGCATTCTTTAATCTCGTATATATCCAAGAGCCACAAAAAGTGGTAGGCAGATACATTGTGACCTTAAATAATTACACAGCCCCCTGGCTTCTACTAAAACCTAAACTACTAAACAACAATACTTGAGAAAGAAAATAAAAACTTACCAGCAACGATAGGCAGGTTCAAAGTAATTCAACAATTAGAATAATCAAACAAGTTAAAGACCTAAAATTCCTGGTTTTCTTCTACCACTACGCGATCAAGAATCAGTGGAACAAACACTAACTATATAAGATAAGAAGCAAACAGAAAGCCTATAATCTTTAGCTGTCTTCAAAATGCTGTAAAATAGAGTACACAGAGGAGACCTTCTGCCATTTACCAAATGTTCCATAATCTCGTCTACTGACTAAAGATAAACTCGACATTGTATTCCTTAGCTTTGAGAGCTTAATGAAAACTTCCCCTTTAACTATCCATCCAGCTACATTAATTCGTAATTTCTGTACCAAGCCCCCCACTAACCAAATAAATACTCACACGGCTGACATATCTAAAATGCAAAAGAAATCCAAAGCGCCAGAAAAATTGTGAAGAAAACAAGGGCTTCGTTTACAAACCTGAGCCTTATCGGCAAGTTGAACTACAAGACGACCAACAGGAAGAGGAGATTCATAAGTGTAACTATAATTGATACACTCAGATCTCATATAACGGGAAAGAACGCGTCCATCAGCAGTAAGCCCGGAAATGGCGACGCCGATGTGATCATCGACTTTGAAGATCTTCTTCTGGTGCGAGGATAGTTCAGAATTAGCCTTATTGACGCAGGCCAGAACCACATGAGTCTTGGATCGGAGACCAATGGCAGCGGAGCCTTGTTTCACAGCCTCCATCGCGTACTCAACCTGAAACAACCTCCCCGCCGGGCTCCATGTCGTCACGTCCGTATCGTACTGGTTCCTAAACATTTTTGGTGAAGGTAAGGCGGATTCAAGAGGTTCGCAGAGCCACAATCACGATCTCTCCGATAGAAACTGAAGAGGATTGAGGTCGCCTTAATGGAGGATTTAGGGGTTTTCGTCTTCTTCAAGGCAAAATTTGGCGACGAGTTTCCTCACCTTCGAGTGTTAGGACTTTACACTTATTATTATTTTTACTTTTTCACTTTTATTTTAAATATATTTTTTTAGAATTATAAATTTTATTCTCGAGTTATTTTTTAAATTATTAAAGAAAATTATATTTATTTAAAAATTTTAGTTAAATATTTTAACTATTTTAAAAATAAAATAGGGTTGACTTATTTTCAACAAGTTTATCGAGTTGACCCGACCATAAAAATGTCAACAATCGAATCGGCCCAAATTTTGAATTTTTCAAAAAATTCAACTCAACTCAAACTGAATATATATATATATATATATATATATATATATATAACTCACGTCAATTTTTATGGTTTGAGTTATACCGTTTAGGTGGGTCAGGTTCTCGAGTCATATGAACACACCTAATCTTTTTAATTTACATTTTAAAATTTTTTCAAAATTATATCGATATATTAATTTCAATAAAATCAATTTTTATACCAAATTAATTTTTTTGTTGCCAAAATGAAGAATTTTGTTTTTTTTAAGGTGAATTTTGTAATATAAATATAGGAATATTGGGTTAAGAGGACTCGCTCTAAAAGCCCATGGGCTTCAAGTTATGGGCCCATGTAGTCCATTACCGGCCCATAATACCCAATTCCCTCTGCCGCCAAAAATTCCCAAAGACTCGACGAAAGGGAAAAGGGGAGGGAAAACAAACCCTAGAGAGAAAGAGCGCCATTTTCTTCTTCTCCTCGTTCTTTTGAGCCTCCGTTGATCCCAGAGAAGCCCTTGCAGATCATTCGGAACCATGGTAAGCAAGATTTTTCGTTTTCATCGCTTATTCAGCTAGTGTTTATGTGTTATTGTTGTTTTTAACTATGGATCATGTGTTAATTTATCCTTATGTAGAATCAGATAGCTCCAGAGATTCTTTGTTGTTTAAGATTTTCCCCTGATTTTTCTTTGATTTGTAAATCCTGCTGAATTATTTACATGATTGTTTGGGCATTGTAGAGTATTCCAGTTAACCCGAAACCGTTCTTGAACAATTTGACTGGAAAGACTGTTGTTGTGAAACTCAAGTGGGGGATGGAGTACAAAGGTTTGCTTCTACCTGCTGCTTGTTTTTCTTATTTTTCTTATTTTTCTTATTTTTCTTGCCTGCTGGAGTTTACACTGAGTTTCGTTTCCATTTCAGGCTTTCTGGTCTCTGTAGACTCGTATATGAACTTACAGGTTTGTTTCTACTTGCATTGGAATAAATTCAGTCATTTTTTTAAAAGATTTTGATTCATCTCTTTGTTGTTTCTACTTATTGCAATCATCCTTTTAATTGAACCATTCAAACTTACCACTGACTGATTCAAAGTCCTTCATATTTGAATTTAACTTGATCTGTTCTGTTTGTATTAGAATTTCCGTCATACAACTACTATCCATTTTGTTTTTATAATTGTTTATACAAAATGCGATGGGATAATTCGGCAGTGTTAATCATTGAAATTGATTTGCAACCGTTAGATTTTTAAAGGAAGAACAACAAATTAAATGATACGGAAGGAAAACTAATTCTTCTCTGAATTTTTGTTTTTAAAAACAGAAAACTACTTATGAACGGATTTCTCAAGTAAGCCCATAGTCTCTTTCAGTGTCTGATTCCTGTATACAACTTTTTAAATGCAGCTTGCCAATACCGAGGAATATATTGATGGACAATGTACTGGGAGTCTCGGAGAAATATTGATCAGGTAACCTTCTTTCAGTGTTGGCAAATTGCAATATCAAGTGCATCAATGCTTATTTGTAGTTAGTAATGCATGTGTACTGTCCATAATATATATATGCTCAAGCATATATGTTACGAAGAACACAGATTCAACCAAAAGGGCACATTTCTTTCAAAATCACTCCTAAACATGTCCAAAGTGATAAGAAATCCAATTTCTGCTCAAATAGGCTTGTGAAAGAGTCGAATGAAGGACAAACATAACGAATTGTGAATCGATAATGAAAGGATAAGTAATTAAAGAGGCCAACGAGCCTTTTTAGGGTTTTGGGGGTAAGGGACTTGAACCCTCACGATTTTTCAAGGTCTAGTAAGGATATGGCCGCTGTCGTTGTCTTTCAAGTTTGACACTTTGGTGCCTACTGATAAATTCTTCTGCAAGTTCTAAGTTTCTAACATCAAACATTGGCAATATTCTTGCTTTTTCCTGGCAGGTGTAATAATGTTCTTTACCTTCGCGGAGTACCAGAGGATGAAGAGATTGAAGATGCCGAGCGCGACTAACATGTAAATTTGTATCTCCCAGCTCTGCCATGCCATAGTAGCAGCTAAGTTTTCAGCCTTCTAGTTTCCTAGGTTTCCTTTCATCTGCTGCTTAAGTTGCATCTTGTTGCTATTGGTACTACCTTATAGGACAGGATCATTCTCTGCTTTTAGTCGATTTCGAACCTGCACGATCATTCTAGGGAGATTGAATGGTACAAATAGAATTCATGAATGTAACATCTTTATGTCTTTATAGCATTGAAATGCTTCATTTTTTCAACATAAGATAAGCTAGAGCGTGACATAAATCATGTGGAATGCAATGCAATGGCATATATTTGTAAACATCATGTATTAGTAGCTTTCATTTTCATCTTTTTTCAATATCATTAGCTTTGATTTTTGGATAAAATCTGTATCCATTGTTATTTATTATATTACAATTGATTTTTGGATTGGAGCTCATTTTATTACTAAAATATAATCATAGCCTTAAATACATTGACTGTGTTGACGTTTACCGTAAGATGGGATTCTGTTCACATTCAACAAACCCATTTCTTGGTTTTTACCTCAACCACTCTACCATCAAATCATGCCCAAAAACATCCAAAAACATCTAAATTAATACGAGGACTTCGAACATAAGACTTCTAAGTTGTTTGGTAGCATGTGTTTGGTAGCATGTAGTCTCTACTTGATCGTGTTCATGTTAACATAGCACATGGGTTGAATTGACTTGACTTAAGACAAATGGATATTGTTGTATTCAAGCTAAAGTGTCGGGAGATTTGATAAATTCTTCCGTTCAACCAACTCTGATATGGATGAGATATCGTGTCTTGACCATGTTGAGTCTATTTTTTATTTGTAAACTTTAAAAAGTATCTAATAAAATAGGTTATCAACTTTTCAACTGTACTTTTAGTAATCGTTTGATCATGTCAAATCATGTAAAGCATGTTACAATTCTAAGTATTATAAAATAATCATTTTTAAAAATGCTAAAATTAAATTTAAAAATTAATAGCTAAAATAAAATTAAAAATAAAAACTATTATTTATGTGAATCATAAATGATGGGAGAGAGAGAGAGAGAGAGAATTAATATAAAGGTTTAATTTCATGGGAATTCTTTTGATTTTGGTTGGGAGTAGGAATATGAGTATTCACATGAAATGACAAAACAAGATTTAAAGAAAAAATAATTAAAAAAATTGATTTTAAAAATTTCAATTTAATAGATTAAATTTAAAATGGGTCTTATTTATTAAAAAAACAGTCCATTTATTTATACTCTTATTCCACTCAAACTATCACATAATTAAGATATAATGTAGATAATTAAATATAAATAAATGTTTATATGATTAAGACTACAAAAATCTATACAATTTATAGAAATGAAATTAATATTAATTTTAAATTTTAAATTAAAATATACGTAACAAATTTGTTAAATTAAAAGCATAGTTATGACGACAAAATTATAAAAATAAAATTTTTAATTTAAAGAAAAAGGGTAAACCTCAGGGTGGGGAAACGGCGGAAATGGAAAGTTGTGGTAATGAAAGTCCTACGTGGCACTTTTCCATTTGCGTTGGGGTTCTTTGGACAAGTGGGCTCCACCCTTTCATTTTTTTCCCACAATGTCGCCACGTCACCATTTAAAAAAACTTTTATTAATTCAAATATTATTTTTGCTCCGTTCACCTTTTATATTTTTATTATTTTTAAAACTTCAATATTATTTTATATATTTAATAAATATTTTAAAACAATTATTGAAATAAAAGAGATGTACATGAATAAACCGATACCACATCCTAATAAAAGCAATCCTGAGAATATGATGATTAAGAAAAATTTAAAAGAATTGAAAATCTAACTTATACTAAGTGTGTTTTTTCTCGAAGTAATTCTATGTTAACTAGATCATAACAATTCTTGACGAGTCCACGTAAGAACCTCCGTTTTAGTCTCTTGATCGATAAAATAACATATTGGAGAGTATATGACAAAGATAACCGTAGAACGACAATCATCATATAAAGAATCTGTCCAAGTTCATGAAGTTTAAGCATGGTCCCCTTACGCTACAAGGATTAAAATCGTTAATTTAAATATTTTAAAATATTGTAGAGTACTGTCTCAATTAAAATTTGTAGATAAAAGCAATAAATTAATTTATAATCTTCAATTTAATGTTATAATTAAAATAAAATAAAAATAGCAATAAAATTATATTTTTATTTGCAATGCTATTTTTCTATTGGTTGGAGCGAAATGAAAATGGGAAATCTAGGTGTATGGTGGGCCCCACTATTTGCCTTGTGCTTTAAATGCATTTTGTCTTTTAGTTAGTAGGCAATTAATTAATTTCTTTTTTTTATTAATATCTTACAAAAAAAGAAAAAAAAAAAGGTTTTATAATTAATATGATTTATAATATAAAATGATTTAAATATACTCAAAATTACAATCATGCCCTTCAATTATATGAATTTTCTTAGTTAAATTTCATATTAAACACATAAAATTATTTTAGATTTGTATTTATAGTAAATTAAATTTAAAATATGCATACTAATTTTTTAGTTACATAACTCTAACTATAACTGATTTATATATTTAAAAATATTCCGATTAATAAGTTGTAAAAATTTTAAATATATATATAAATATATAACTAAAAATTTGTCCTAACATAAAATTATTAATTTAAAATTTTATTAAATAATTTGTAACTTTAAATATTTTTTTTAATTTTAAATATCTACTAGACAAAAATTAAATAAATTTTAGAGATCGATAGAAGCTTAGTTTCTAAGCTGAAAATATTATCCGACACAACATTTAAAATTTAAAGATAAGTCATTCAAAGACCTAATAGTAGAGGTACGAGATAAAAAAACGTCAAATCCAACATAAATGTTCAAGATTTGAATAGGGTTAGATAAAAAAAAATTGTTAATGACTTTATTTTCGTCTCACCAACACCGACGTTTCTATGGTCTCTTCAACATAATCTTTCGTTGCATTGCTAGAAAATAAATAAATATATTATAAAAAAGTACTCGACTCAACCCAACTCAACCAAAAAATAAAAGGGTTTGGTTTGATTAGGTTGCTACTAAGAGGGGGCGTGACGCCATCGGACCCATGTCCAGGCAACGCACGGGCGGCGGTCAAGGCCCACCTGGAACCACTCACGGTGGTCGGCTCACTCACGGCCCATGTGGCTCTGCCCCAACCAATCCCTTTAAATCAGTCTCCCTAACCCAAATTAAATTAAACTAAGCTACTTAATTAATCACTTTTACTTAATATAATTAATTAAATTCCCCCTTTCTATATAAAGGGCCCAAATCTCAATTTCTCCCATTTCTCTTTAATTCACCGATCTTTAAACAATGGTTCTCAATGGATTTGACTCCGTCAAGGCCATTTCCATGGCGAATTCCGGCCGCCGCCGGAAGCTCAAGTGGTTATTCGAGTTTATTATGTTCTTATTTCTCGTTTTCCACCGCTCCAGCTTGTTTTCTCTCGCCGGACCGTTCTTCCGCCATTTTTTCCGGCGAATCCTCGTCGTCCTCAACAGTCACACCTTCGTCTTCATCGTTTTCCACGCCATGCTCTTCGTCGTTTACTCTCTCTCCCATTTAACCGACAACAATTCCGGTTCGAACCGAACCGAAGACGAATCCAGCCTCGACGCTCGGTCTTCTCACGTAACCGCCGACAATTCGCCGGAGAGTGTGATCGCTTCGAAAGACGACTCCGTCGACGATAAATTGGTTGTCGACAAGAAAAACACAACGGCGCTGGAGAATTTGGCGGCTCCGGTTGACGATTCTGTCGCCGAGAAAAACACAGAAAAATCATCGGTGAGCAAAGATTCAATCGATCCAACGACAACGACGGCGCCGACACCGGGATCGCCTGTCCTGCATTTGATCATCCCAGAGACAAGGCAGTACCGGAGAACAGAATCGGAGAGATTCGAAGATAATCGAGAAAAAGCGAAGCTCCGGCGATCGAAGACAGAGATTCGCCGGGAAGAAAGCAGAGAATCGAAAAAATTAACGGATTCGGTAGAGGAAATGGACATCGACGACTTCAATCGGAAGGTGGAGAGTTTCATCGCGGAGCAGAAGCTGCACATCGGCGGGAGAATTTCAGATTCCGACAAGTGAACAGAAAAATCTGTAACAGACAGACACAGAGACATACAGACAGGGGAGGAAGAAGAAGAAGGAAAAAAAAAAAAAAAAAAAAAAAAAAAAAAAAAAAAAAAAAAAAAAAAAAAAAAAAAAAAAAAAAAAA